ACATTAGGGAGTACGACTCAATCACTTACCAAACAGGGGATAGTGCTGAAAGGCATATTACCCGTATCAAACAGGCAGCACACAGAATAGGATACGCAGATCCACAGATAAAAAATAAATTTATTGCAGCATTACCACCTAAATGTAGAGCAGCGGTTGCTATGTCAATACCGGCTGATGCCACACTTGATATTCTAGTAACTAGTGCTCAAAATTACCTTGATCTGTCCGTAGAGGATAAGCAACGAGAAATCAGTTTCAATATTCAAGAAACATCTGAAATTGCAACACTTAAACACGAACTGAATGCATTAAAAATTGACCTTGCAACTGCTAAAAATAACTTTAATAGGCCCGCTGACAGCACAAGGCGTTTACGTTCAGTCGAACGACACCGTGCACCAAGAACTAATAATTCCCGTCGAAGCCCAAGCCCATATCGCCAAACTAGGCCTCGATTTAAAAACAGAACGAGGTATATGTTTGTCATTATTGTATGAATGTAGACAACGTGCCACTGAATTAAACCAACGTCCACCTCAACAAAATTTTCAGTCAGTGTATACCAACAGACGACAGAATTCACATTTTCACTAAGGGGATTAGACAATTGCGCAAATTGTTCGAGTCCCCATACAATACTTAGTGCAAACTAACAGGAACCAGCATTACATTCACACAAGGCGCAATATCTCGAAAATTCAGATAAGGTTGATTTACAATTAAATGCTAAAAATTATGTTAAAGGTAATTTACCTGATGGCAAACATGTTTTGACTTTATTTGATAGCGGTGCTACAAAGACAATTATATCTCAATCCTATGTCCAATCTTCAAAGTATTTGTCACAGCTTACGCCTACACTCGTACAACCGACTAAATTTCGTTTAGGGAACGGTGAATACTTATATGCCAAGTACATGTTAAAATTTAATTTATTAATACAAAGGTCACCGACAAACGAAATAATATTTAACATGGTGGAAGACCTTAATCATTGATTTCACGGTACCTCCTCTCCAAAGCTGAGCACATATAGCCAAACAATTGAAGACGCACTAAACGATACCCGAATTGCGGTTAGCAGATTGTTTGCCCTTTCTGAATGACATGACTCTTGGAACTGAATTAAAATTTTTCTCAAATACCGCAACTAACTAACAAGAATTGAAAACCATGAGAAGTAAAACAAAACAACAGGCATCCACATTACAGGAAGAGAATTGAAACGAAAAAAAATAATCGGATTTGTGACACGCTGACAAACGAACACCTTGTTCGGATTCGAGACAAATTGGCAGGTGACAAAGATTTTAGGATTCGAGACAAGCCGACATTAATTGGACTTCCCTCCCTGATGACGGACATGAAAACGCTCAAAAATATTTTTGAACATTAGACCAACTTTACTTTTAACATTATATTTTTGTTTTGATTACATTTTTATTTTTGAATGAACTTGCATGAATGTTGTGAAGATTACATACATATAATTGGGTAAGTTGAATACATTGTTGCATTCCATCATTGTGAGAAAGAGTTTATATTTTTATCCCTCTTTTTTTTATCTCCCTCCCTATTTTTTAAATTTATATTGATTTTAT